TAAAAATATAATTATACTAGTAGTAACATATGCTAAAAAAATTGTTTTCGAAGGGGCAAGAATGCTAATTTATAAAAGACATTCCGGCTAAAAAAATTTTGAGAAACTCTAATGTAAACCGAATTAATTTGCAGGTATACGTCTTATTTTTTTAATTTTATTTAAATATTGATTTTTATTAGGTCAAAACTATTTTTATTTGAAAAGATAAGCAAAACATTTTTCTGATGTCAAGCTGATTTAGATTTCAGCAAAGTTCGGTTTGTAATATGTACAATGTATGTTCGTAATATGTAAATTGTACAGTGTGCGTTAAATTCAAGAATCAACGACACTTATTTAATTAACGTACTGTAAATGTCTAAATCTGTAACAATTTACCCTTATTAATCGTAAATAGATGCTGGATTTCCCCCCTTTTTTAGTTCGCTTGTCATAAATTGGATTTTGTTACCCCGTTCTGCATATCAGTGAATATTCCTCGTTATAAAAATGTTCCGCTGGAAAGATACCAGATAATAATAACTTTCGGATGCTCCCCCCAAATTAGTGCATCGAAAAGGGAGGGATATCCCGTGAAGCAATTTTTAAGGAAAACTGGCTGTTATCCATGTTGAAAATGGAGAAAGCCACGAAAACGCAAAACAGCATTCGCGGGGACACGAATTGCGGACCGAACCACCAGTGTTCAGTGACTTTTACCGCTCGGCCGCTGGTGAGCAATATAGTGGATATTAAGCCGGAATCTGAATGATTAGACTAAAAGTTTTATTTGTATTTTAAAACTTACTCATTTGCCATTCAAATTTCTGACCAAATATTTTTATTTCCCGAATTTTTTTTAATAGGAACTTAAAAATTAATTTGAAATTACTTTATCATTGAGATAAATTTAATATATTAGCCTTTTGTTCGGATAGCCACCTCAAATATTTAATTAAAAAAATCTGAATAATTTCAATGAGTCAAGCTAGTGTAACTTCGCGAGTCCAGTTAATAATTATTAATAATAGAGATGTCAAATTGCGTTTATTTTTTTAATCAGTTTGTTAATTAGTAGCAGTCGGGTTAAAGTTTAAAAATTAAATATTTTACACTTTGCGGAATGGCAACACATTAGGAAGATAGAAACATTTTATTTCGGGCTGTGACAACACATTTCTGTTAAATCACTGAGTTTTATGATTAAATTTGAATCATAAATATTAATGCTTTGCCCAGAATAGCAAAACATTTCTTTTAAATCGTCGAATATTTTAATCAAACAAAATGTTATTAAATTCTCACAAAATACGAAGTAAATCAGACAAATTCAGTATTCGGTACACGTTCGGTTGAAGGACTATATGAGTTTAAAATTTAGTTGGCTCTAGATGCTGTCTTTGTTCCTCAATACGTATATACATATATACAGATTCTTCATTATTTAATAGTAGAGAATATTTGGAAATATTTGTAATGAAACAGTAGCAAGTGCAAAATTGGAAAGCAACTAATGTTATATTCTTTTGTATGTCAGAATAAATAATTTTGATTAATTTCATAGAAGAAATAGCTAACAAGAAGCGAATAAAATTAAAATTACATTATTTACATGAATCGAACCAAGCTTTAAAGTAATTATTTAAAGTAATATAACAAATAAAATAAAAACTCTTAGTAGAACTTAAGTTTTTCGTTATTCTGCTTCAGTTTCGTTATTCTTATTCTATAAGTTGCTACTGCGGCCCATTAGTGACCGAGTGCAAGACCGCTGAACACTGGTAGCTTTGATCTTGTTCAGATCCAGATAAAAAAGCTGGCTGTATGAGAATGTTCGAGATTCCCCCCCCCCATGTAATGTAAGTACTAGTTAGTTTCTTTTAGATAGGTCTCCATGAAAGCATCCCTCTCTTCCGGTAATAAGCCCTATAGAATGCTTTGCCATAGTCGAATAATTCCATAAATCCAATCCAACGAAATTCGCGATATACGAAGAGGCGATGTGATCTGTATTATAGATAAATGAAAATAAGTATTTTTAGAAAAATTATGAAACGGTTCATTGTTTAACCAATTATAAAGAGTTTATCTTTTCAGACTCTGTTTTTCATCCACTGTAATATGTGGACGGATTTGGAATAGTGACTGTTGGTTGTTGTATTTAATACCCTTTTAAGTGCTTTTAAAGAAAACTTGAAATGTTTGAATTTTGTCTAGGGGAAAAAATGGGCTTTTTTTTCTCTTTCTGATACTTTGTTAATAATATTAAAATTTCTTTGGAGTATTTTATATATTTGTAAGTTATACATTTATGTGTGTATATTTTTGCGTCTATATGCTTTATTTTGTTTCACGGTTTACTTGTTTACGCAATCATTTTGTAATACTTTGTGGCGCATGAAGTGTTTTTTAATTTTAAAAAAAAGTTATGCAAACTAGTATAACATTAATTAATTTGAAAATTTAGCAAACAATTAATGTAAGATATTAAAAATTTTAAACACTAATTTGAATGAATTGAATTAGATTATTGGAAAGCACACATGGGCTATTTGCCTAGGAAGACGTGCCTTCGCATAAGATTTCCTAAGAAAAGCTGGCTCGTATTCATGTTACATATTATGGAAAACTACAAAAGCTCATATTCAGCTAGCCGTTAGCCGGGATTTGAGCCTAGGCCGAGGCTGCTGGTGACCGGCTGCTGAATTAAAATATACAGACTAACAAGAATATAAGTACGAATGGTATTTGCCTCTGAGATTTACATTAAGAGTGAAATCTGAACAGAACTCATAAGCACGAAAAAGGGAAAAAACATAATTGGATCCTTTCCTATATGAAAAAACATGCTTCAAAGAATTTTCTACAGATCTGTTAAATTAAGTCTGCTGCTCGAATCTCTTTTAATAGTGTTCTTGTTTTCAAAAGTTTTTTTGTTGTTGTCGATAAAAAGTTGTTTAAGTGTCATTCGATTTCGTTCTTTATTTATTGGACTAAATAACCAACCTAGGAGAGAAATCTTTTACATTTATTAAATTTTGTGACACTCGAAATGAACTGATGCTTAAAGTATGTTTTCTAACTGTAAATTGGGGCTCATATCTTTGTAGATAAAAAAGAAAAATACTACTTGAAGCCCTATAAGGGAAAACATTCAATAATTTTCTTTTTCGAGCGGTGGAAGTCGAGGAACACCAGGAGCTCACTCCTAGTTTAAATCACGGTCATGCAGTCACACGGGTGCACTACATGTGAGCTTTCCTGGTTGTCCAGTCGCGTAACGTGACTACGAGCCAATTTCCCATAGAAAGTCCTCCACTAGGCATCCTTCTCTTAGTCATATAGCCGTCGAGTGCTTTGCCGTAATCTAAATAAACCAAACGAATAAATTTCTTAACATTCACTATTTTTTAATAAAGTATTCACTTCGTTTAAAAATGCGAGGAACAAAATCATAAAATGTTAGTAAAATGGAGTCATAAATTTGTACTGCATATCGAAAGAAATTTGGTAAATAACTAAAAGTTAATACGTAATTGTTAGTAGGCTATATTGTATCTCACTTTATAATTAACAAATTGCTACACTTTTTAACAAAAATTAACAAAAAAATAAACTATTTGTAATTAATTAAATTTACCTTATCAGAGAAATTGCTTGGGACAGATTGATTTCCAAAACTTCGAGAAATCGAATTTTAGGTAATGTAGAATTCGAAATTAATGTTAGTTTTCGTCTCAATAAACGGTGTAGTGTGGTGTGGTGTATTTAATTATGGCAAAGCACACTAGGGCTATCTGTCAAAGGGGAGGGATGCCTTTCGTGGAGGACTTTCTAAGGGAAATTGGCTCGTATACACGTTACACATGGGGAAAACCACGAAAGCACCCATGCAGCCAGCCCGTTCGCGGGATTCGAACCTCGGACCGAACTACCAGTGTTCAGCGACTTTACCGCTCGGTCGCTAGCGGGCCTCAATAAACGGAATTTCTGAGTATCCAACCCTCCTGCTTCGTCACTTTCAGTTTCATTTTATCAAAATTCGATTGTTATTCTTAAGTATAAGCTTGCCTTCACTAGTCTAAGTTGTTTCCGTGTAAAGTTTTTATTCAGGGGTGGGGACTTTTATACTACTTTGTTAATATCCATTTGCTTGTTGTACTTGAATCTACTGTGTAAGAGTAAAGAAAATTAATACCTCTTTATTTTCTTTTACAGGTAAACAATTTTCTATGCTGATCGAAATTTGGAAAGTTTGAGATTTGGTGCATTTTGTGAGTAAGGTACAAAATTTATGTTGAAAAATGTCATTGTATCTATGAACGGCATAAATATGATTTTCTCTTTCACTTGCAATTACTGGGTGATGCTTAACATATGATTTTTTGTACTTGTTGTATAGCCTTCTTACTATTTTGATTATTCATATTCGTCGTATTTAGTACGGAGGCATACAAGATATGTAGGTTTTTAATTACATAATTTATATTTTAATATTTAAATCTTATTTAAATCTTTAAAAACCTTTTGCTATCCAAATTTAGAATCTGGGATGCTATTGCGAAAAGAAAACGGCATAAAATGCTGTTAAATAATCAGAGATGTATAATTTTGTTTTTTGGCTTTCCATATAAAATTAAATTCTGCAGGGGATAGACAAACTGTATGAACATCTGTAAGAAACAATAATTTTATTTATAGGTTGGCAGCTATAATTATACTCAAGGTTGAGCCTTTTCGTAATTTTTCTTGTAGCATATGCTAGTCTCGAGAACACCGTTTCTGGCTATGAATGTCTTACCTTTTAGAATATTAACAAACGAGCAAATAAGTAGGTCCACCGACAGCATAATTCGTAATTTCACATCTGTATCGCAACCGTGGGAGGAGCTTCTGTAACGGACCAATGGACTTCTAGTAGTATTTTTTGTTGTGTCACATGACCTTTGTTAGGCTTAAAGTGGAGTCGCGGAGTGGTTGAATATAAGTTATATTTTCATGCTACATTTATTACTTACACATATCTTGTTAGCCTGGGATAGGGCTCCGGCCAGGAACCCATGTTGCGGGTCTGCGGCCACCTAAGAAGAGTGGTTGAATTCCCCGCCCTTTCCAGTGTTTTCTAAAAAATAATTAAAACATAGTGAATTCTTTGTGAAAATTTTCAATGCAAAGTTAGATTAAGTGAAGATTTCATTATCTGGGTGAAAGAATTTGAAAAGAATAGAAATACTTAACTTAATACTGAGACACAAATGCTACGTAAAATGTAAACAACAGTGTACTCAGTGCCACAAGAGGAATAAAGGCCTATTGGTTTGTACTCAGTGTCATTTTCTTGGTTGCGGTGCCGATGTGCACTAAGAATTATGCCCATCGGCAAAGTACCAGGGGATTACGGACAGGCAAGCCTTTGGTTTTCACTTTGGTTTACTCAGTGTTTCGGTAAAAACCGGTGTATATTAAATTGGTTATTCATTGCTATAATAGAAGAATAGGAAACTCGGAATAGCAAGGGTTTCGGAAAAAAAAAAAAAAAATGCTTCGGAGGGGAGAGGAAGCTAAGGAAAATATACCATTTAATGCTGGAAATGTTCCCCCCCCTAGCCGCCCACCGATATACAGAAGGAATTAAGACAAAGAGATTATAGATAGCCAAAGTTCGGTTATTATTTGCCCATTTCACAAGTGTTCTTATTATTTTATCTACTTATCTTGTGATATCACTTCGCACATTTCTTCTTATGTCAATTTATTTTTTTTTCCACTTCTGTAACCCCTGTGTTACTCTCACGAATCCTCATAATGTATTATCTTTTCACACGCGCATGGTATGAGATAAACTAGCCCTAATACTCATCTGACAGCGTATAATTATGTATCGCAAAATCACGTATTATACATTATGAATAAATGCATTAATAAATAAAAATAAAAATCACTTACCCGGCCTTCTGCGAGAAAAAGGTGTTCATTGGAGCAGGTGGGTGTTAACTAAACATTCGCGCACCGTATCGAATCGAATAACAAAGCCTTTGAATATCATAAAAATTAGTTTTAGTGCCACACCCAAAGAATTTTCCTCTGTATGAAGTTAAAAGAATTAGAAAAGAAAATGGAGCGAAAAGTTCGCTTCGCAACTCAGGAACTGGAGGGTGAAGTTTTTTTCTACATTTTTTTAGTAAAGTAACACCCATCTGCTATGAGTGATGTTCTCGATGGTATCGTCCTTTGGGCCTCTTTTTGATCTTTTTATTTATTTACATTAAGTATTTTGAGTTGTTTTTCTGGGAGTGACGACCCCCTTCAGAGATGATGGGGAAAATGATTAATAAGACAGCGATTGTGAAATTCCGTTGATAAAAAGAGGTGTTTCGAAATAATTTCCCAAAGCAATAAGATTAAGAGAAGTGTTTCCATCTCCGATACTCAGTCCATCATTGTTACAGTTTAGGTGTGTCGGAAGAGAAAAGGTGGTGTTAATTTTCTTAAAATATTTCCATGTGTTAAAATTCGAGACAGAATCTTATTATTATTAAATATTAGTTATAACGTTTCAGCAAGTCTTCCGGATTTTATAATACGAAACTGTAAAATTGACGTAACGCAGAAATTTGTAAATATGCTCTTCCCCGCCTTTCTCTGTGTGTGCGCGCGCGCTTCCGCTTGGATATAGCATGTGTATATTTGAAACCCAGACCATCATCTTTTAATTAAAGGCGTTAAATGCGAAATTCTTAAGTTGTCTGTGCTACATAGATGGTTTTTGTGAGGGACATTAATTATGAATTCCTTGCGATGTTTTAAATAAAAATGTAAAAGTTTCGAAACTATCCTGCAGTAAACGTAAACCCGTACGTATCAGGTCATATAATGCGGTAGCACTATACTCTAGAAAAAAAAAAAAAAAACGTTAGCACTATACTCTAGAAAAAGTGTTTTAAACTATTTACAGACAACTTAGGCCCATCAGCCCAAGTGATAAAATTGACGGTAGTTCGACTCTGGTTTAAATCATAACCAATTGGATTATTGAATGAGAGTTTTCTTGTCTTTTCCATTCAAAGAAGGTATTTAATTTCGTTTTGAAAGTCCTCCTCGAAGGCATCGTGTGCTTTACTATAACCTAAATAATCCAGTATAGACTTTTCAGGGATTCAAGCTGACTCTCAGTAATAAAAGTTCTAAGTTTTTAAATTTTAGCTTTAACGAGAAACTTTTTAAATCGCTTAGGTCTAAATTGCTAGCTTTAGTTCTGTATTTTGTTCGTCTTTTCGGTAATTATGTTTTTTGAATAAATAGAAATTGCAAAAGTTTTTATTTGTCTTATTTATAATAACAAAAACTAACCACAGCAAAAATTGTTTGACGATTGTATTACCATTATGATTATCTATTTTTCAGAAAACTATACTTTTAATGCGAAAGTTCCCTAATACACCAATGCGTAATGTTCTATTTACTATACTTCTGTTTTAAAATGGTGTCAAGTGAGGGAGGACGAGAATAAATGGTTAAAAAAATTAATGTGAAGTTTGCACAGATTGCTTATATTGAAAGAGGGAATAATTCACTTTTCAGTTAAATGTAATTTTTCAGTTTGTCTTTTCCGTTCTGATGTGGGCAGCACATGGCCTGTCGCCAGTTCCATGTTAAGATAGAATCGACAGAATAGCAATGAGTTTAAGTAAACTATCACTTCCCATTGATCGTTGGTAAATAAAATGTTATTTGTTTATTAACAAACAGTGTTAATGATAAACACTTCTATTTTTTTATTGTTCTATTCTCCGATACAATGGACAAAAGTATCTAACTGTACGTGCTCATGTACAAATCTTACATGTACGTGCTCATGTACACATCAGGGCGTGGGACATATACCTACTTACCTTTGTTAGACACCAATGTCCCCGTCCTCCGTCACCTGTCACCTTTGCACATCAGTTTTCCTGTCTTGATTTGGAAATATCACATTAATCGTACTATATGCTCAGGTCATGCAGTAAGATTCACAAATCAGTGACTTAAAAATCATAAAAATTTTTAAAAAACCAAATCTGTAGAATTCCCGATAGTGTGTTAAGTGTTGCCATACATTTCTTTTTATATCGCGTAGTATTTATATTTGTTACATTATTTCTTTAAAATAATATATAGCGATAACATTTGGTGACAGCATCCTTTTACTTGAAAAGTGATTCGACACAAGAGTTAAATGGATACAAAATTGAGAATTGAGGCTAACATAATTGCTCCATAACAAGAGTTCATCTTCACAATCAGTTTATTCTCGTTGCCTTTACCATAGTTCAAAGAATTCATTTAATGCTTGTAAATGTAATACGTTGTTCTCAATCACATACCTATTTTAAATACCAAATTTGAGAAGTTTTGGATTGTCTTATATATTTTTTTATAAAAGTTTATTGAGCTTCAATTTCAGTACCACTTCCGTTGTATTTGTTTTAGCCAAAATCTGATACGTTGTTACCATTGATATAAAAGTTTTAAATACCAAAATTTTAAAGTTTTGGATTATATTTTAATATAGTTTTTTCATTAAAAACTTTTATATGAGTTTCAAGTAAGTATCATATTCGATTATTCCATTAAAAACTTATGGGCTTCAAGTAAAGTACCACTTCCGTTTGTGCGATTTTCCCTCAAATCCAGCAAACGTTTTATATGAATGCTTAAACACTGAAAATCGAAATTTTTGGAAATTTCATATAAGAGCTGTTACTGACGAAAAAATCTTTACCCCCACCTCACACACAGACAGCCAGACATCATTCTAAAAAACTAAAAACGTGTTGTGGGGACCGTAATCTATCTGTGCGTATTCACTGAGAACTTACTATCGAATTTTTAATCCAAATGCTATGTATGCAGCTATATATATATATATTACGGGAGGTAGCAAATCCAGTAAAACGAAGTCGGAAATGCAGAGTAGTAATTTTGTTGTTTAGACAAAATTCAAAGTGAAGTGGAAAGATAAAAGAAAAATTTAAGGGCAAAAGTAACTTCTACGAAGCAACTGAATCATTACTTTTTCTACTCAGAAATGCAAACTGATGTGTACAGAGTTTATCGCCGCTCTATTCTGTATTGTGGTTAGCGATGCTATCTGTTTTATCGTTGCGCCCAGTTCAATCAATCTAGAAGAAGGCTTGGATGTTTCTAAATTTATAATATATTTTCGTCTTGGATGCTTAAACACGACCATCCGAGACCCTTGCGACAGACTTTGGAGCAAAAGAAGAGGGGGGAACTTTTGGATATGTCCTCCGGGGGTATTCTCATTCAAAATTAGGACAGAACTGGGCAAAGTCGCACTAACCATGGAGGTAAGAATCTCTTTTCTTCCTTGAACAAATCTTATTCATACAACACATCAGTCATCAAAATATATGTAACAAATAAAATATAATAGCCTTCATTTTAGGTATAATATTATATGTATACACATTTCGATTACAAAAATAAAGTATAAAGATTTAAGAGATGGTTAATGTATTGATTACGACTGAATATGTAGCTAAGTACTGTATAAGTTTAGGAATATTAAAAATAAATACTAGCAAATTTATCAGGTTCTGCTGAATATTTATCACGATTTGTTTCTTCGAAACATTTATCATTAGAAATTACCCATGTTATTTTCTTGAATCAAAATACATGCAAGCAATTTGCATGAAAAATGCATTTCAATTTCACTAATGTAATATTCCTTCGTCATTCCTTTATCATAAACAAATCTGAAATCTGTTTTTATTTTGTGCGTTATCTTCAGGAGTATTAAGTAACCTTGGTAGAGTTCTTTCACCTATTTGCAATCCAGTCGTTGCCGTGTCGTATCAGAATTCATCAGGTATTTCCATCCTTTACCTTTGCGACGTTGAGAATACCTATTGCTTCTCATGATACTTTCTATGCATATTAGCAAATCAGTAATCATGCCAGATTTAGGCAGTGAAACGTTGGTTCCATGTGACTTCGCGAAATCTTATTGCTTCTGAAATTGCAGCCTGTGTTAGTTATCAAAGAAAAGTTGCTGCCATTCATTCTAATTAAAAATTCTATGTTATTTTGATTCCTAAATAATCAATCAGTTTCACAGTAGTTATTACATTTATTACCTAAAGGACATATTTTCTATAGTTTTCTTTGCAGTTTATTTGCATAGAAATCTTGAAAAAATTATTTTCAATTAATTTATGGAATATATATGTTCGAAATTATAATACTGTAAGTTCTTCATTGGTTGCTTTGTGGTGAAATTTAATTCCTAGTACTGGGCTAATAGTTACATATAGGCCTTTTGTTTGTAATCATATGGCAGTAAAATACTAATAAACCGAAGTTACGTGATATCTTACCCATGAACCCATAAGTGTAATGTGTTTTTTTCCTATATCGTGAAGAAATTTTATTGTGAAACTTCTCCAAACTCAAAGAAACAGTATATTCTGCATACATAGATAGATTCTTGCAAACAGTAACAGAGCAAAATTTAGAAGGCCGTTTACTTAATAAAAAAAAAATTGACTTTTCTTCTTGAAAGACTGCAAAATATCGTGATAGCTAATCAATAAAAGATGACAGTCCTGTTTATTTTGTGGTTAACTTTAAACCTGCTCCTCGAGTATACTATACCGGCTCAGTCTTCTTGGTATCTTCCAGATGTCATTCTATTCCCATCCATCACACTGTATGTTATTAATCTACGACTTCAATGGCAGCCCTGTAAGTGAAACTGCGCATTAGGCTTTAATCAGTCTCTTGTAATGTGAATCACTACATCATGATCTGTATTGGAATTAAGTGGCGCACGTGGTCTAATTGGAATTTTTATCATAATATACCACTTCTAACGATACCGCTCCACTTGATTCATGGCATAAATGTAAAGCAATTACCATAAGAAATGTATCATTTTTAGCAGCTGCAAATGCTCAAAAACTTCGTTGAATCACTGTATAACGTTAAATGAAACATAGATCAACAATTTTTGTTATCTGGAAGAAGCATTTCGTATTGACCGTATGGAAAAAAATTAATGCCACTAAGCCAGT